TTATACCACATATCTTGTCCATTGTGTGGTACCAGCCTTCAATTCATTGTCTAATTTATTATTAGTAGCATTGTCATAGCACTAGGAACCCCATCATTCACCAGCACCTCACTGTACTGGTTGCTGTACAAACACAGACGGGCCTAGCCCCAAGGAACTTACAATCTAAGTATAAGACAACAGATGGCTATGGACAGACGGGGGAGGACAATGAAACAGTATCACTCAGCATGAGAAGCAGTGGTAACAGCACACCATTTAGAGAGGAGGACAATGAGGTGGCCTTGTGGATGTTTACATGGAGCTCTTTGTGGGAGAAAGCACAAGGGAGCTTATTTGAAATTTTAACAAGTGGGCAATCAAAGCCTGTCATCACGGGGTAAGTGGAGGCAGGAGTCATCATCTTAATAGGGTATATGTCTTTTCCTTACCTCATATTACATACCCTTTTGATTGGTAAGCATATGTGCACTCTCAGACCTGTTCACGTCATTCAGAAATGGCATGGCTGGGGTCTCAGTAACTCCAGATGAGGATAGTTTTTCTAAAATACAGAATATTTGGGATTAAAATATAGGGGTGAGTGCAATAGCTTCAGTTTGATCACTAAATTTGGGAGACCACTGCAAATCACTGCGTTCTTCAAATGAATGGCTCAGCAAAACAATGCAAGAGGAGCAATGCAGCTTCATAAATGAGCTCCGCTTGCGTGATCTGACAACAGTAATTTAATTTGCATTATAAATACTTCATAATGTGTTAGTAAAGGGAACCATAGAATATTTTGTAAAAGTGACAAAGTCTTAGCAATAATTACACACACAAAAATCATCAGTGTACAATTAAAATAACAAAGAGCAATGTGGAGAATAGAAATTTCTTTGTATGAAGGATTTGGAGATTTTGAAATTTGCTTTTGTATCAGTTAGGAATGAAACTGGAAAATTTTGAAATTCTTCTCCAAAAGAAAATTCTGAAAGAAATTCAGTTTCAGGTCAACCATAACATTTTGTTTTGACAAAACTGAAATGTTTTGGTTTGATTTTGACATTTTTATTTTATATTATTATATAATGAAAAGTTATTTCTCACAAGGAAAAATCAAAATGTTTTGTTCCAAAAATGTTGAAACTGGATGTTTTTGACAGTGCTGGGATTTTTTCCCTATTATTTGCTTCAAAATTAAATTTCGGTGAAATCACATATGATTTCACAAAGCATTTTGATTTTGACAGAATAGCATATTCCTGCAGAATGATTCCATTGAAGTTTGTTAACCCAGTTCTAAAAATCACATAAGATCAGGAAATGAAAAAGTTCAGGTTCCAGCATCAGCATTGATTAAGCTGCATTGCACATCTCCTGTATATTTTCTGATAAGCAGGTCATCATGCTAACAATAATTTTGGGCCCAAATATTCAATGAGATCTGCAAGTGCTCCCATGGAGTGTCAGAGGGAAAGAGTCCACTTTTTGCACAATCAGGGCCATATTAGATTAGAGATTTAAACAGAACAGCAATAGAAAGTACTGGGTTTGGACAGAAAAGCCAAATTAAGGCTGCTCTTAGAACCCTACATTTTGCATTTCCTGACTCTTCTTGAGATTTTGAATTGTGCAGCTTTTAACAGCTGAAGGAATTTTGTTAAGCGTTCAATACAATTTCATTTCTGTTTCTTACATGGAGCAAGCCTGGGATAGTTCAGAAAGTTATGAGCATGTGAAAAAAAATATATAATGGAAACAGTTTTGCAACCTTAACTACATTAGGGCACAGATTTCTCAGCTGTTGTCAGTTTCCACCAGGGGCAGCTGACGGGGGAACAGCATGGGAAGTGGTTGAGTCTCATTGGCTCTGGGGCCAGTTCTGAGTTTAAGAGTTTCTCTAATTTACACAAGCAAGCTATGGGCCCCACAGAGCCTTCCACTTACTAGGGACTGCTGGAACACACCTAGGTTGAAGGATGGCAGCACAGGAGAAGGTCATACTGGCTGTATACCTAATCAAATCCAGAAGAGGATGTCACGGTCTGGGGAGCAATGCAAGAGATGAAGCAGAAGTGACAGCAGTGAGACACCACTAGAACAGGGCACTCTAGCGAAATGAGAGCTAATTCCCAGGACGGCCAGCAGGAGGCGCCCCGGTGGTGAGACCCGCCATGTTACAGTGACGTTCTATGGTGTGCTTAACAGTGTGTCAGACTTCACCAATGTAACCTAATATTGTTTGCCTAACAATAGTCTCTGTGTCTTCATTATTTTTAACCTGTGTTAAAATAATCCATGTTAACTATCTTTACTACAATCAGATAATGTATGGCAAAACTGCCATTCCTTGTCTAAATTAGAATTCTAACATGAGCTAATTAACGTGTTAAAAATGTTTTTTTCATAGTGAAGATGAGCCCTATGTCACTAAACCTTTGATATATTATTTTCCACAAAGATATGAAATCTAGAGGTAAGAACTCAATATTGAAGATTATTGCGGCCAATATTCAGGCACAAAGACATGCATGGATTATATTTGATTTGCAGATTAAGAGCTCAAAAAGAGCAAACTTTTACTCATGTGAATAATCCCCTTGATTGAAATGGGAATGCTGGCTTGAAAAAGGACTAGTTGCATAAGTAAGGCATTGCAAGATTGGTCCTTAAAGTAGAAAAAAGCCTACTTATTTACAATATTATAGCTAAGGCCCTGATCCTGTTTCCATCCAAGAACAAATATACATTACTCCAGAAACTTCAATTTGGATATTTTATTTTTTCAATATAACTGTCACAAATACATTAACAAAACATAGCAGCTAGAACCAGTTCCCTGTAAAAACATCCATCTCCTATTCCCAAATATGGTTAGCCAACAAATAATACAGCTATCCCGCTTTGTTGTTCTGCCAGAGCTACAGGACAGTATAGTAGCGCCATAGAAGCAATGTATCTTTAAATCCTGGTGGCTTAGTGATTACCTTTTTTAAATAGCTTGGCAGATCACCATGTGAGCTGTTCAAGAGCCACTTGTTAGTTGATAACCTTCTGACATCCTCTAACTTCCTGAGGAATCACCCGTGAGAGAGAATTTAAGAGGCAACTGATCTGTATATTATTCTATTGTTTGGGTACACAAGAAGGTGCATGCACACATATGTTAGCCTGGGGACGGTAAAGAGAAATAGTTTGATATTCTGTGTGTCATCTCTGCTAAGACACAATGGCAAAATACAGTGCACAGCACAGCTTCCATTCAGACAGCGCTGGGAAAGATGGCAAAGTCAATTCTTACACTTCTGCAAGGCTTTGGGAGGGATGGGAGGGTGGCAAGACTGGCCCCTGACTGAATCTGATTTATACTTGGTACTCTTACTGACGAGAGAGCCCAGACGAGCGCTGAAAACAAAACTTGTTCACAGTGAACCTTGTAAATGCTCATCAAAAGCATTGGTGCCCCATACTCCAATATGGTACATATATTGAACTCTAGTGCACTTATCATTTAAGTGTAGTATTGGATTAAGCAGAGTCCGTGAAGGGAGTTAGAAAATAGCTGGTTCAGCATGTCAGTGCAATATTTCTTAAGCTGATTGGTGGCATTTACAAGGCAGCTGAGGACAGAGGATGGTTCTCATTTTCATCATCCAGTTGGATACACCAGCAAATGAGGGCATCAGAGCCCTGATCCAAAGCCCATTGAAACCAAGGGAAAGAACCCCCCACTGATATCAATGGGCTTCGAATGGGATCCCCAAATGCAGCTCATCTGGTGGGCAGCAGCTTCTGCTGACCAAGTACTGGTCTTCCCATGCAGCTGGGCAATAGGATTGTTCCGAGCTGGTTGGGAGGTGATTAAAGCATTTACATTTGCAATTAATAATTCTACAGTCCAAACTAGTGTTTTCAAAGGAACAAATTGTCCCATAAAATTACATTATTGGAGACTGTCTTGATATTCCAAGAGTGGGCAGAGTTATCATGCAGAGGCCTTGAGTTTGAGAACCAGATTGGGACCAGTGAGGGTTAGGAGGGCCATGGAAGTGAGAGCCTCACAAAGAAGAGAAGGATGCAGACACCATCATTGTTATTTACTATTTGGATTGTGGGTTGTGCTGAGGAGCGCCGGTCATGGGCCAACACCCGTCTGCGCTAGGTGCTGTACAAACTCAGCACAAAAAGAAATCTCCCTGTCCTGAAGAGCTTTTCTGCACCTTCATGTACACAAGCTTCAGCAAATGCTCCCACCCCTCAGTCACAGGGACATGGCCCTCTGCAGCAGCTAAGGAGAAGGAGGGGAAACGCGTGTGTGCTGTGCATGTATGCAGCTTCAAGGAGAAACTGAGGACTTGATGTAAAGGATATTTTAGGACTAGCCTAACCTGAATCAGCACCCTGAAGGTGGAGGAATCACCTTGATGTGGATGAGGCAGGCCGGGGGGGCGAGAGGGGGGGAGGAGAGAGAGATTTCTCCTTAGATCCCTTTCCTGTCAAGATATTAACATATTACCATTTTGAACTTGTGAACAACCTACAGCCCAGTTCTGTAGCTCTGACGCAGGCCCAATTTGTATCAACACCCGAGAAAGGACTCAGGAATGACTGCAGGACTGGGCCCAAAACATTTGCCACACCCTGAAACAGTATTTTAGTTCAAAACATCTGAGAATGAAATACCTTGCATGCTACAGCAAGGTGTGTAACACAGACAGCAGTAAACAGTCACACATGTATTTAAATAACATTATAGCCATAAAAAAGTAATAGTTAAGATTATTCAGATGACTATACAGAACTAGTGGATTTTATTGAGCGTTCTAATTCAGCTAACTTTAATTAAAGTTGTTACATTATTTAGTACTTAAAAAAATATCTTTGGTCACATCTCATTCCGAAAATATTATTGCCTCCAAAGCTTTGCATCGAGAACATTCCTGAGAATGATACAAAGGGTTTTGACATTACAAAAAGTAAATAAGGAAAAAAATAAAGAGAGAAAAATCATTTGGTCAGTTTGCAAGTGTTTTTTATTGTTTGAGGCAGGGTTAAAGCCTTTTATAGAGACAGGAACATATATGCAACCAGACTGAATGTGACATTAGGTTACTCTAGACACCTCTGTTTAGCACCCTGCTGCCTGTAATATGCTATGGTCAAAACATGAGTTGATGATTTAGAACAGATATTATGATACAAATGAGCTAGGATGGCAACTTGCTGTTATTTTGGTAACTGAGTTAGAAATCTAATAATTATTTATGTCACAAGAGAAGCAAACCTCCTGATTCTCCAAAACTCCTGCATCTCAGAATCCTTTTAATCAGAATTTGGTTTCCTATCCGTAATAGCCAAATCAGAGACATCAGCAAAGTTGCTACCATAGCCACAACTCACTTCCCAGCAATTTGTACAGCAGCCAACTCACAGACAGATCTGAATTTAAAACATATGGGGCCAGATCCACAGCTGATGGAAACTGTGTAGCTCCATTAAAGTCAATGAAGCTATGCCACAAGCTAAGCAGCTAAGGATCTGGGCCCTGTATATTTTAAATTTCTTTTCAAATGTAAAAGTAATGTAACACTGGTTAGCAGTTTCATATTGACAGCCATGGTGAGTCAAGTCTTCCGTTCATCAAGAGAGGCAAATAACATGGACAGTAGCAGTGCCAGCTTCCCTTCATTCCTCTGCCAAGGTGCCTCGTCATTTTCTGGAGGGACTATCTCTGGCAGAGAAAGACATCTGTCTCCAGTCCCATTCCATAGACAGCATCTGCTGAAGATTGCCAAAATATGGGCCACTTGTAAGTATTTAGTTTTGTGAGAGTCACCTATCTGCTAGGAAAGTGAACACAGACCAACAACTCATTTCATACAAGCCAATGAATAGCCAACAGATGGTAACAGCTCTCAGACAATACCATCATGGGCTGGTTTTGAAATTGCAGCCTAGAGGTGAAAGGCTCTGCATACTCTTCGTCAATCCCATGACATCAATGTATTAACTCTTGGGAACGTGAAGCACAGTAACAAAGGCAATGAGTCATTGCTCCAAACATGTTCACCCCATTTGCTAAAAAGACTTGTAAAATGCTAAGGATTTTCATTTTGTTACTGAAAAGTTGACAAGAAGCCATGTTTACATAATTTGCATGTATATTAATAGGGGATTAATAATGACCACAATAGGGAGGCGACTAAGACATATTAGCGAGATGTAAATTATGTAGATTCCAACAATAATGTTAGTGATATGAAACAAACAATCGTACCTTATTTTCCTCTAAATATCATCTAAGCTCAGTAGGGTTTTGTTGTGTTTTTTGCTTTCCCCTTTCAAAACGTTTAATTCTAAATCTAATCTCTGCACATGTTAAAAAAATCTTGTCAAATAAACCAAGCATAAATATAACTGTCACTACCATAATCAAGCATATACAGTTAAACAGTGTGCCCTCTGTGTCACATATTCTGCAATGTTAAAAATGCCCCCCCTTCTGAATGTTAAGATGTAAAAAATAGGATGCTTTGGTTCAGTTGTATCTGCAAAATTGCTTAGACCCTTTTTCTTAAATAAAAGATGCAGATTCAGTGCTGTGCATTTCTAAAGTGTTTTCATATAACATTGCTGACAACATATCTCCCTCCCTTTAAAGAAAGAGCAAAGCAAACTATGAACTTTGACTTGTGATAAACACTGTCTGAAAAGGTTTGTGTGTGTTAAACTTAAGTACCTAATTCTTGGGGGGCAGGGGGGAGAATAAGGACAGATAAAGGCTTTTTAAATCTTCAGTTATAGCCACTGATTTTATGAGCATATTGATACTGCAAGCCTCTCTCACTCAACAGGCAAACTTTAGATAAAAGCATTGCTCTTGCTAAAACCAACTGAGCATGCTCACTGAAGCCCCAGGTGTGACCTTTGCTCTTCTGTGTGCAGCAATTGGACCAGGCAATCCATCATGGTGTTCATCCTGTCAGGCCTGGTGCTTGGCTGCAGCTGTCTGTCACACTGGTGGATGGGACCTGCTTAAAGGCAATCATGTCAATCTCTATGTGACTACTCAGACTAAGACAGAAAGATGATCTTGACAGGCTTGGCAAAGTCAGCAGAAGGTACTGGAGGACTTTAGTTACATGCAGAAAACGTAGATGCAATTTGTGCTTTCTGTGTGCATGTTTTGTGGATTGTGTAAAGAGGCATGGAACGGTGCTGTTTTATAGCTGGTCATCTCGAATGAATCTGTTGCCTTCGGAATGTTTCCCATAGTAAATGTAGCGACATTTTCCCAGAACACCTACAGTGAAAAGAAAACAAATAAGGAAAAAGTGAGCAATTAGCATTGTATGTAATGGACGATATTACTGAGGTTGGGAAAAAGAAGGTTCAACTGTGTTTGGGAACTGCTCTCTCTCTTGCTTTTCTAGCTATGCTTGGAAAGCAAAGTATGTTAATTTGAAATTAATTTATTTTAACTAGTGGCATTGGGGTCAGCCCTGAAAAAACACACTTGAGTACTTTGTGAATCACCCCGTTAAGCACATATGCATGCCCTGCTGCTTTTTGTAGGGATGGCATTTTGGATAGAGTTGTATGTTTGTACTGTCTGTTATCGTTCCAAAATATGGATATGGGGACGAATCTTTCTAAACCACATGGTTTTATTGATAATAAAATAATAGCAGCAAGTAACAACAGCTTGGCACTGATCTAGTGATATAAACATGAAAAACTCTGTTCAGACATCCTCACAACAGCCCTTTGATGTAAGTAATTATCATTATCCCTACTTTGCAGAGACAGAGAAGTGAAGTGACTTGCCCAAGGTCATCCAGACCTCACTGCCCTCCTTTTCTAAATATAAATGGCTCTACGAGCCAGAACAATGGTAAAGGGTGAGCAAGGCATATTTAAAAGTTATACGTTGTCCTTCCCCTAGTGGTGGTAGCTCATATACAGGGGAGTGCTGTGGTAGTACTAGCAATGCCTCCTTTTGCACCCCAAGGCATGTGCAGTCAAATTATTATTGCCTCCTGCACAAGGAAGCCATGTGTAAGGGTCTCTCTGTCTCCTTCTATGTATCTTGGGATTTTCTAAAGTTCTCATCACTATAGTATCTAGCTCATCCACTCAAGGTCCACCAACATTCAGCCGATAGGAAACAAAATATTACATATAAGGACAAAGACTGGGAGGGATTTACTGTGATTTACTCATTTACTGTGCAGGGTTTTAAATTTGACAGATCCCACATGAACAAATGGGGTCTTATTAGCTGCACCCAGATGCAGCATGAATTAAGTATTCTTTTAATAATCTGTATGTAATGCAGCAATATAATTATAAGCATCAAATAAGCTATGAAAACCCTGGAAGCAGGGGCTGTGCTGGATTAAAGTTAATCCCTATTATTCTCTCCTTTTTTAAAGCATTGGGTGAGTAACACATCACTATGGAAAAAAATTGATAGGCCTATCACCTGTTTTGAAAAACACATTCCTCTTAAGGAAAGCACAGAAGTGGGCGATATGAGCTTTGTTTAGCCCCTTCTTCGCTTCCTTCTCTCCCTCTTTCCAAGTCTCCAATAACCTGATTGATCAGTGGAGCAACTTCCATATTCAAGGGAAGAAATTATTCGCCTTCATAAACCAGTGTCTGGTCAAAAGCAAGTTCTCATATCCTGAGGCAACGCTATCCCATGCAAAGCGTGGTTGTCATTAGTTGGTAAAAAGCTTGGTTGGACTTCTAGTGGTAGAGCTCTAAATTTAAAGGATATGAACAGTTTATTAATGACCTTCTTCAGACTCCTTTTTCACTGTCACTGATAAAAGTCCTATTTCAGGTCTGCCGTGTTTTCTTCAGGACTGGAAGCAAGACTGTTTACTGAGATCTTGGTGAGAGAGTGCTGTTTGATGAATGCTGGAGACTGCAGCGAGGTGTCAGCGCTTAGAAAATGAGGCAAGGACATGAGGTATTAATACTGTCAATGATCTCTTGACAGGAAAACAGATACTACATTCACCGTCAGATTTAAATAGACATCAAGTGCATTAATGACAAAAGGGCAGACTTCAAACAAAGGGGGCTAGATGGTGCTGTGCTGAGCGAGTGCAATAACCTGATCTGAAAAGACACTGTCAGAACTACAGACAGACCTAGAATTGTGTGCAGTGACAGAAAACAGAGATGCCGACAGAGATACCGGTGCCATATTATGCCAAGTATATTCTAACAGTGTCTCCAGCCCTAACTAAATCTGACATCATTTCCTATCACTTATAGTATTCTCCACTGCTCCTGCAGAATATTTCTCCCAAGACATCATTACAAACTCCACTGTAGTTTTAGAGTTACTGGCAGGCCTGTTCTGTCATGGAGGTTGGGTCTAGAGGCCTAAGGATAACCTCAGTCAATCTAAATTTGGAGTTTGCTGTAGAAGTGCTCTCATTTTCACTGATATCTCAGCTACTTGAGGTGATCTGAACGCTAAAGTGTGAGGAGCTGTCACCTTGAATAAAATCCTTAAAGCAAAGACGCTCAGTTCCTGGGATGTTCAGCAAAGATGTCGGACTGTCTGGCAGCAGGAAATGAAATCCAGCTGCTGCTGCTCGCCTGGGGATAAAGGTGCTTGGGCTAGTGACAGTTAAAGTCAGCTGAAATTTTTGAACTCCTGCAGCCTACAATTGTTTAAATTAAGGAAGTGTTGTCTCCACAGAGATTCCCTACCAAGGCGCACAGCTGTGATTCGATTGCCAGGCGGATTATACACACTGCTCAGAGAGCCTTGATAAAAGCACAGTTGAAAATGTTGCCATGAGTCTTTATTTATCATGAAGGTTATTTGTAAAACAATAGGCTTGCTCATAAATTAAATGGTGACTTTTTCCCCCTCCTCCTCTCCCTCCCCTCCCTTTGCTTGAAGAAAACTGTGAAAATTACAAAGGGTTTATATGCTGCAGTAAGAGCTTTCGATGCTAAAATATGCAATACATGGATTTAGGAAATCTACTGCATCTGACTCAGTAGGAGACAGTTTCCCCCGCACATCTGCAACGTGTTCATTTGTTTGCAGCTTCACAAACTCATGTGTGTGTATGCGCATGCACGTGTGTGCGGGGGATGACAACACATTTAATGACGTGTGGCGTTTTCAATTAAAATATCTGGCATTGGTCATAATAAGCTAAGTATACTCCCAATGCATCAGCCTAATGCACAGCATTCTGAATGAGCTTTCTGCTCAGGGCTCTTGAAAAATGACAACATGAGGTCTCTTGAGGGATCATCTCCCCACAAATGAGGTTCCAGTTTTTTCTTAAGTAGCTGCTTCCACCATCTCCATAAGCTGTTAAAGCTATAATTATGAAAAAATTACATAGGGAAGAATCATGTTTAAAAATACCTTTTATCTTTTAAATTCCCACTCCTTCAGAATCAATGTTCTAATTATGACGGGTAAGTAATAACCCTGCAATCACCTGTGTGTGTTGTATCATCAGTCTTTCTTCACCAACACATTGTAGTGTCAGCAACAAGCTTTGCCGTAGCTGGGGGAAAACCCAATTATCCCCATAAATAAATAAATACATACATGAATACTAAAGCAAGTGAAAAAATGTTCAAGTCATGTTCTCTCCTTTTAAATTGGGCATGTGTTTCAGAGAGTTATTATGCAATCGATTCCTCAATGTTCTTTTCTAGAGTGAAATATGTTTTCACTTCTTGGTATTTTTCTCGGGGACCAGACAGTACAAGGAATTCACAATAGGCTATGGGGCAATGCACTGCTAGGTCACCAGTTCAAATCAGCTCAAGTTAGTTGTGACCTAATGCTAAGACTATCTGGTGGCATCCTGGTGCCATTGCATGAGTTGCTGGCTTAATTTTCCGAATGCTTTTAATAATTCTGATACATGTAAAAGATGCTACCATGTATCAGCATATAGTAAAGTATTTGCATTTAAGAATATTAGTGAAAGAGATAATCTTATTTACATTAGGTGCCAAGGACTGTATTCCATAAGTAAACCAAAAGGGCATATGATACTTTATACAACACTATACTATATCTGTGTTCAGGTGAAACCTAAGCAGAAGTCCTGACTACTTTTGGTCTGATCACATGGCAATTAGTACCCAACTTGATGTCCTAACCAAATTCCAGTTTAGCTAATTTTATTTTGACTACAGTATCTAAATCCCACCCCATCAGTCTGTGTTGGATCAGATATTCATCTTCACACTTCTTGCCTCACACTATTGGGTACTGCTGCTGTGGGCTATTAAACAGCCGTCACCTTCCACCAAGAAGATGGTTACATTTTGAATGGTGGTCATAGTATAAATGTATAAACTGCTTTCTGGATGAAACATCAACACCATTATAACTTTCTTCAAAGGCTCTGGGGGATTTTCTCCCATCAATGAATGGGAACTGCCAAGTTCCCTAAAATACTAATTGCAACTTTCCTTATAGGAGAGTACAATCCTATTTACAACCAACATTGACAGGAGAACAAACATCTGTCTACAACCAACTCAAGTCTATAGCGCTAGTCATTTAGACAAAACACTTGCATTAATCCCATTAATTTTAAACATACTTAAGACCATCCCCAGTTAGCAAAGAACATAATCAAGTACTTATGGGTAAAATTTTCAAAAGTGCCTATAACTGAGAAGCCTAAGTCCCATTTTCTTCAAGGTATTTGTGCACCTAAAATGCAGACAGATGCATAGTGGGATTTTCTAAAGTGACTAGGAGTTACCTGAGAAAGTCCCACTAGTCACCTAGTTTTGTCTTAGGTGCCTAAGTACCTTTAAGAATCTGGTGCTTAAGAGTCAAAGTCTGACTTTCAATGGAACATAGTGATTTAGGAGCCTAAGTTCTTTTGAAAATGTTCCCCTACATGATTTGCTAAATGGGGCCTTACATTCTATAAAGGGTTCCTATTTGTTTTAGTTAAAAATAAGTGGGTCACACTATTTATTCCTACATTATTTATTCTTAAATAATTGAGAACAAATATTAAAACAACTGAATGCTGCAAAAAAGTGTGGAAAGCTTCAAATGAGCAGCTGCAAACTATCTACTTAGAGGAGCCCCAATACTCTGCTCCGGACATCATAAGTGCCGATGGGCTGTTCAATTAGTTTAAAAACATATAAACCCCAAAGAATCAGCCCGAAGTTCAGCCCTTTCCCCGGAGCATAGATAAGTCACCCTCCATGGGACATGACACAGGATATGACAGCTAAATATCAAGACAGCTAGATAAGGGCATAGAAGGCAGACTT